CCCCCTTTCCGCGCGCGAGCCCCGCGAGATCCCCGTACCTCTGCGCTTCTCTCCTGCAGCTTCTGCGGGTCTCAGTGTGCCTTTCCTTCCTTCTAGTTGTAGAGTTTACAGTCAGCCAGGCTTCCTATGGTTCTGGATGAAGTCCGTATTGTTTCTCTGAGGTATTAATCAATTGTTGTGCGCGGCATTAATTTCCCGGTGTTTATCTCTGCCGCCATCTTAGTTTCTCCAGTAGCTTTCCTTTCAATTCCAGAAGTGGACTTTTAATGGTTTGCAGACCACTTTGCCCCTGAGATGAGGTCTGATGGTTAGAATTCAAAAACCAACACAAGCCTGTCTTCAGCAAACATGTGTCTCGAGGTTTAGAATTCCATTCTGGTTTCAAGTATTGTTTCCTGTTCCCATACCTCAGTGAAATGATTCTGTCGTTCTGTGTTTCATTGTCCATGCCACAGTCCACTGCTCTGTCTGCCTGGGGAGAGGTGATGGAAGTCTTTGCTCAGATCACGTATTCCTATTTGGGGTTTAGGAGTGCGCTGTGAGTTCTCTGCATCAGCTCCAGGAGTGAAAAAGGATTCCATGCCGATCGTTCATTCTGACCCAAGGTTTAGCTTTTTATGCAAAATAAAATTGCCCCCACAGAAACATAAATGGGGACTGAAAAGATAAAGCAAAAAAATCTTGGAATGAAAAATGGGAGACTCTTTCAGGAGGAAATGTGGGAAGTCAGCGTTCCTTTAAACACTGATGAGAATGCCTGTACCATCTTTGTACACCCCTGATTGAGATGTGATCCTCCAGGTTGCTGATGTTTCTGGCCCCTGCTTCCCTGCACCCTCTGCCCTGAGGAAGTGCGTTGAAGGAGCCAAACAGAAGTCCTCTATCCAGCTCCTCAGAGCCACAGTGAACAATGGGAACCCAAATATCAACAAATTTAATTTCCTAAGAAACTGGGCCTGAGAACATGACTTTTAGGGGTACTTTGCTAAGTGTTTGTATCATCAAGTCATTTAGAACAGAAAACTTGGGGGCAGACCCCAGTGTTAAGTGTGGCACTTACGGTCTCAAAGAACTTGTTTATATAAAAGTCCCAGCATGGCCCTGCCTCTCCTCTCTGAGTCCCTTGGGGGATGGATCTGCAGGACAGCTTCATTGTCCAGCCTGTGTGATAAGTGTCTGTTGCCCCACACTCTCCCTACCCCTATCCCTGCATTATTTTTCTCCTGGTCATTTTCTACCACCAAATGCATTCTTTTGTTTACTTGTCTTGTTACTGTCTGTTTCCTCACCAGCCCCTAGAATGTACACTTCACACATACTTAGAAGAGAAGGTCCTTGCCCAGAGTAGATGCTCTATGATAATCTGTTGAGTGAAGGGAAGCAGGAACTTGCTTATCTATAGGAATGGAATGGGGCAGGAGGAGGGTCAATTTGAGCCCCACCACTAGATCTTCATCCCTTTTCCCTCTTTCCTCGGATGCCCCTGAGAGATGCTACAAGAATCTTCTGTTTCCACCTCTTTGCAGAGCATCGGCTGTGACGATTACCTAGGCTCCGACAAAGTGGTGGACAAATGCGGGGTGTGCGGAGGCGACAACACGGGCTGTCAGGTGGTGTCGGGCGTGTTTAAGCACGCCCTCCCCAGCTTGGGCTACCACCGCGTTGTTGAGATTCCCCAAGGAGCCACAAAGATCAACATCACCGAGATGCACAAGAGCAACAACTATCTGGGTAAGCTTGGTCTTTTTCCAGAGAAAACATCTGTTACTCCAGCTGGTTTATTCCAGGGTGGTGAGATGAACACAGCAGTGTCCAGAGGTTCTCAGACACATAGTGTCACTGGGAATGCCAAAGCAATGTCTTCTCAGTGAAATGAGCAGCTTGGGTGGAGAAAATTTAAAAAGTCATAATTGCAAGTAAATGTTTAATATTTACACTAATAAACCATTCTTTTCTCTTTCCAAGAGAAATATGGTTATGAATTCAACTAGAGGCCTGGTGCACAAATTCATGTACCAGTGAGGTCCCTCAGCCTGGCCTGCAAGATCTGGCCAAAAATGGCTCTCCAACATCCCCCAAGGGACCCCAGATTATGAGAGGGCACAGGCCAGGCTGAGGGACCCCACCAGTGCATGATCGGGGCCAGGGAGGGACATGGGAGGTTGGCCAGCTGGGGAGGGACTGCAGAAGGGCTCCAGGGTGTGTCTGGCCCCGTCTTGCTCAGTCCTGATCAGCCAGACCCCAGCAGCAAGCTAACCTACCGGTCAGAGTGTCTGCCCCCTGGTGGTCAGTGCACATCATAGTAAACAGCTGAGCAGCCTTAGCATATCATTAGCATATTATGCTTTGATCGGTTGAACAGCCAACTGGTCAACCAGACACTTAGCATATTAGGCTTTTATTATATAGGACTAGTGACCCGTCGCACGAAATCATGCAAGACCAGGCACCCCTTCCCCTCCGCCCGATGCCATGGGACCACCCCGAGTCCTGGAGTCCTGCCCCGCGTGGCTGGCATGCCATGGGACAGCCCCGAGTCCTAGAGTGCTACCCCAATGCCCTGCCTCTGGGCCACATGGAGCAGCCGCTGGGCCCCGCCCCCACAGTGTTCACACAGGGCATGGAAACCCTGGCAGAAGTCATGCAAGGCAGCCGCCAGGACCCCCACGGCACACACACACACACGCACACGGGGCCATGGAAACCCCTGCAGAAGCTGTGCAAAGTGGACACTGGGACCCCTGCACCCCCACAGGGCCACAGGAACCCCTGCGGAAGCCACGCAGAGTGGACATCAGTCCTGCCCCCGCTGCCCTGCCCCTGCTGTGTGCGTTGCCATCTTGTGACAATGTTATAGCGTGAGGATCAATTTGCATATTACCTCTTTATTATATAGGATAATGGGCTAAACCAGTGGTCGGCAAACTCATTAGTCAACAGAGCCAAATATCAACAGTACAATGATTGAAATTTCTTTTGAGAGCCAAATTTTTTAAAATTAAACTATATAGGTAGGTACATTGTTATTAACTTAACTAGAGGCCCGGTGCACAAAAATTTGTGCCTTCAGGAGGAGGGGGGATCCCTCAGCCCGACCTGTGCCCTCTCGCAGTCTGGGACCCCTCAGAGGATGACCACCTGCTGGCTTGGGCCTGCTCCCTGGGGGATTAGGCCTAAGATGGCAATCAAACATCCCTCTGGCAGCCCAGCAGCCCTCGGGAGATGTCTACTTGCCAGCAGGGAGCAAGCCTAAACTACAGTCGGACATCCTTAGTGCTGCTGAGGAGATGGGAGAGGCTTCGTCCACCACCACTGTGCTGGCAGCCATCAGCCTGGGTTGTGGCTGAGCAGAGCTTCCCCTGTGGGAGCGCACTGACCACCAGGGGGCAGTTCCTGCATTGAGCATCTGCCCCCTGGTGGTCAGTGTGTGTCACAGTGACCAGC